CTCGGCTCATGGAATGATAGAAGTTGAATGACTTAGGCTGAAAGGCCTAGGGATTCAGAAGGGCAGGGCTTTCCGTTCGCTCTTTCAATGTCCCCATTACATATTGCTGGTGCTGCGGGGACACTACCCAGTGTGTTTATTACACGTAATGAGTCCTTAGGTTTCACCAATGTATGTTTTTGAAGCATGCCGCAAAAGGTGGGACACTGCTCTTTTGCTAACACAGGTAATGATGTTCAGATAACGGGCACCAAACTGTCCTGACATTGGCATTTCTATGATACCAAAATAGATCTTAAGCGCGGTGATGCCGGTTTCCAACTATAGTTAAGAAGAAAGAGCCAGACAGTGTGTCATGTTAAACATTTGTTTGGCCGCCCGAGATGATGGCGTGGCGGTCGACGCGTACACAGCGATTGCATAGTAATCGTTGTGTAAACATTGGCTTACGTGGACCAGTTTCCCGCGTCTCGAATGGCATGTCACGCGGACGCGGTCTCAGCCACGTCATGAGGGGCACACTGAAGTCGTTGGTGGACGCCGGTGCCAGACCCTGGCCGAAGCCCGGCGTGCGAAAGGTGGCTGATGGCGGCGCGAAACCCATGTCTCCATACGGAGACGGACGTGCTTACCTCGGCCACCAGTGCGCACGACCGGTCACAGTAGGCCGCCATACCATACCGCAGGATGGGTCAGCTGCAGGCCGCCATACCATAAAGGATAGGTCGGCAACAGACCGCCGCCATACCATACGATAGGCTGGCTACAGCCAGGTGGCATAGCAACAGCGTACCCAAGCGGCAAGAAAGTCACCACCCAACAAAGCCATTACCGCGAAAAGAAACTGGAAATGTGATCCGACGATATTGTGTCAATCGGTGCGTCCATTACGTAACCGTTTTTAACAGCGCCGCCGCCAATCCGTCCAGGGGAACGGCTTAACTAAGCCGGCAAAGGCCGCAATCAAGAACGTTATTTCTTGCCGCGCTGCCACCGCGTTAAGGCATGCGGGCGTGGCTAGCGTTGTGCGGGACTGTGAGCCAAGCGTGGAGGATGTGCTTGGATTTGACGCAGGTGCGAGGTAGCACGTTAGCGGGCGATTGAAGGCGTCAGGCGCAAGACGAAAGATCCGGGCGCGACGCCGCTGCAGGACATTGGCGAACCCGTTCTACACAAAGGGGTGACGCTTTTGCCCCGTCAAGATAACATGTCGCTTTTGTAGTCGCGTGGTATATTGCGTTGTTGGGCGGGGGGAGGAGGGCTTTACGACTTGGCCTTACGGGGTTCTTTACTTGCTTTAAGTAGTCCTAGATCTTATAAAATAGCCGGACTTACTTCATGTACTCAGCCGTTCAGAGTACGGCGCGAGCTCTTATCTAACTCGAGAAGCGTGGTGAACAGCACGCTTCGCGCGTAACACTCGTAAGCACCGAGTACATAGAGAATATGTGACACTTAAGGGGCCATAAAATTACCGCTAGTAGAAGTGGCCGAAAGCCCAAATATCATAATCGTCTTAACGACGCAACCAGCAACTGAGGCATGGCGTGGCCTGTTTCTCAGCCTGGCAGGAAGGGCAGGCACCACGAGAAATCGAACCCCGTACGTCTTGTTTCCCTGACGCACACTGTAACCACGGGCATCTTTCCTGTGGTACATTGGTCATTACCTATGCTATCGCATGGTTTTGGCTTGATCAACGCCGTCTGGCGTTATCAACCCCTGGCTTAAAATATAACGTAATTTGTATGGTGGAAATAGCCGACCTTCAGGACACCAGAAGGTACTTTTCAAGACGAGATATCAAGCAATCATCGCGTGATCTATAAAATACTAGTGCTTCCAGCGGTGTTCATGGCAGACAGCTAAGCCGAAAGGTTCCGAACGTACATGGTGCATGACCTGCGGTGAGCCCCCCCCCCCCCCTCCCTCCGCCGGATGATATGTTCCGAGGTCATGGTAGGCTCTCAGTCTTAGTCCTGGGCTTAATACTTCCAACGTCGTCATGGTCGTGATTCTAGCAGCCTGCACGACAACATAAGCGCGGAGCAAACTTGCTGTTTGGTAATTTGAACGCCGATGTCCTTTAGAAAGCGAAAGGCACGAGATGACTGCGCAGCCGACGCGTCGGAAAGCCCTAATGCCAGCCAGCCGTCGGTAAGTTAGTTTGCAGCCCCACACTCGAACTTATCCGTTTGTGTTGCAGACAGCCCTCAGCACAGCACTGTAACCAGGGTTGGAATGTGGCAGCTTGAATGATAGCATTGATGTCCTTGGTACCGTGGTTTCCAGCCTCGTGCCCGGTGCGGGTCAGCGGGGCCTTTCGGGCTTAGCGGCCGGTGTTCCCAGCAGTCTGTGGCATACATACGGTATGTCCGGTGCTTGGATATGGGTGTCTGAAGGATTGGTCATCTCACTGTCTCTGTGTTTCTAGAAGCTTATGCATAGATGCTTATGCTGTGGTAGTAAGTGTGGCAGTTCGATTGGCTAATCATTTGTTTTTCATAATAGTTGAACAGCTTCGGAATATGTTGCGTTCAACCCGCCGTGCGTTTTGGGTTTAGATGTTTTTGGTCAGTGTTCGCTCATTGCCATCAGTGCTACGGAAACATCGAATATTTCATCTAATGTATCATTGATTGCTCTGATCTTTGCTTAGCCAGTGTGTGTGAAGATGTTGTCGGCTATTTTCCGCATTCGAACCCCGTGCTACGATTGCAATGCCGTGAACATAGACCTTTGCCTCTGCGGCGGTGAGGTTTTGGAAGAATATTTTGTTATGTTTGGATGCTCGCAGATATGTTACGTAAGATTTAGCGGAGCACCCGATTTCGTAAAAGTTATTCCAGTGCCGGTTCGTTCCCCGAGTGCACCGGACCAGCTGACGCTACGCCCTTTCTTGAGAGATGTCCTCTCTGTAGATGACACGCTCCTGATGATGTCGGCTCCGAAGCTTCCAGCGCCGCGCTAGGATTGCGGCTGCTGAATCGAGGGCTATGTCTTCTGACCCAATCAACCAGTCCTCCGACATCTGGCCCAAACCAGCCTATGTCCCCTGATCCAACCAACCAGCTGCCCGGTACCAGACGGAACCCAGCTTAGGTCCCCTGCCGCAGCCAGTCAGCCCTCTGGCACCTGACCCGACCATCCCAGCAAGGCTACCGAGTCTCCGCCGCTTCTGTGGGCCTGTCGCGACTGTGCCGGCCGGGTCGGGACGGGTCGGGCCAGGCCGGAGCGCCGGAGCGCCGGCGAAACCGGTCCCCGGTCCGCACACGCCCGGCCGGCCCGCCGCGTGCGCCGCCGGCGCTGTGCCATCCCGAGCCTCGCCTTGCCGGCTGTCGCGCGCTCGTTATCTTTAGTGGTTGGGGCAGCCGTCTTGGCATGGGAGTTCTGCGAGCCGGTGGGCGGCCGACGGCACGGAGATGTTATCGTTCCGGTCCTGGCCGTATTTACGCTATTGCTGACCGAGTCCTGCGGTCGTGTCGGGGCTTAGTGAGGCGCGTAGCAACAGGCCGCCACAGCGTCGGCCGCGCCGGCCGATGTCGGCCAGACGCCGCTGGTGGGTGCGGAGCCTGTACGCCATGTGGGGATGCCCGCGCTGCTGCCGGTCGCCGCCGCCGGACGTGAGGCAGGCTGCAGGGCCTCGTATATGTGACACAGCTCAAAGGAATGGCCTGCGGATCCGCGTGTCGGCGTAGCCCTGAGGGCTGTGACCAATTGGTGGGCGCCAGGCTGGCAGGCGTCTCGAGGGCGCCTAGTGCGGCCCCAGGCAGTGGCTGTGTGTGTCTCCTGGACGCGCCGGTGCCTTTGGCCTGGCACCCGGCGCGTCCGCCCGCAGGCCGGCCGCCCTCCGCCCTCCGCCGTCGGCGGCCGGCGTGGTGCGACCGGAAGGCGTGATGCGGTAGCGACGGCCAGGGCATGTCCGGCCGGAGCCGGAGCGGAGCCCGCGCACCGGTCACGGACGGCCAGCTGGGGACGCTCCTCACCGGCCGCGGCCGCCCGTGTCGGCACTTGGCTGATGATCAATGCGGCCTGCGGTGAGCGCGATCGCCTTTCCGGCGGCCGGTGCTGCGGTTCTTGCGGTTTTGTCCGCGATCGGCGCGGGGTCGCGGCGGTCGCCTCGCTGATTGAGGCGTTCGTGTCGGCGACAGCTGCGGCGTCCGCCACGCTAACGGCCGGATAACAGGCGGCTTCCGGCGCCGTCCGCACCTGATGGCCGCCGGGCGACGGCAGAGTTCTGCGGTCGGTCTGATCGTGCAGAGCGGTTCGACGCCGGCCGATTTTGCGGTCGAGGGGCACCGCGGAGGCGCCCCGTGAGCGACGCGACCGATCGGGCCCGTGGTTGAGCCGGCTGGTCGCCGGGCGCGCGGCACGCTCCCCGTAGATTGCATTGGTAATTCGTGTGACGTAGCGCGCGTGACGTCACACGCTGTGACGTCATCATGCCAACGAGCGATTGGTCAGCAATGGACCGACAGGCCGGGAGGTCCGTCACCTTGATGGCTCGCTACGAATGCTATACACTCAGCTTAAGGAAGATTCATCGGATACGTGACAACGAAAAATTCCTATCAAATCCCTGCACGTCCCGGTGCGGGGCAGTCGTGCCGCCCACGTTGGAAACTTCGCACGTCGTATATTACATGTCCGGACATCCGGCGCCGTGGACATTAATCTATAACCGTGAAAATATGACTCCGCGGATCACGCGTGTGTGAGAGTGAACAGTGGTGTGCGCCGACTTGCTTAAGCGCATCCGGAACACTTGCAACCACTGATGAGCTCGATACGTCCTGCCGTGTTGGCATTTGTCGGATTTTGCACTCCGAAAGCAAACACCTGCTGGCTTATTCCGGAATCAAGATGAATCCAGCTCCGGGATCGGCCATGAAAAAGCAAATATCGAGCCGTTCGCCGGATCCGTATCCTTTCCTATCTGACCTTTTCGTCGGCTCTCTGCCGTGATGGCGTGACTGACACGTGTTTGTACCGTTTTCCAGTGGCATGTATGTGGTGTGGGTGACCAGTTTCGCCGAGCTCTTCAACCAGACGGGCCATCACTGGGCGCTGGTGCCGCAGCCGCCGTCCACGCCGAAGCCCGACCGCATCTGGCGGTGCTACAGCACGTCCGCCAAGATCCGATTCCGCTGTGTGAGTGTGCCTGTCGGCGCGAGGCCGCGGCTGGAGCCCGGCTCCGCGTGGGCCTGTGGCGCGGGCTGCAGGCCGCAGCGCGGCGCGGCCTTCGATGTGCAACGAAGACGCCGCGGCTTGTCTTGTATGCTGAGGCGGGATGCATGCGTGAGAGGGCGTATTGACGGTGCTGCACTCAGACGGGATCCCAGAGTGTGCGACTGTGCGCGATCTGTAATGTTCTGGAAGCGTGTTGCCACCTTCGCGCCATGGTGCCCTTTTGTCGTATGGGAGCGGTCGCAGCGTGGGCTCGTCTGATGCCGCCGTTTGTCCGCAGGACCGGTGCGGCAACAAATGGACGTCAATCCATGGCCAGGTGTCCTTCCAGTACTTTTTGCGCAAAGGATCGGGCGCGGGCACCGTCTTCTTTCAGCTGTTTGGCCAGAAGTGCTCCGTGTGCGTGCGCCAGCGGCTGCGCGAGCGCGTCTCTGCCACTGCGACCACCGCCGCCGGCCAGAGCGCGGCTACCGAGCCACAGCCAGCCGCCACCGCCGCCGCCCCCGCCGCCGAGCCAGCGGGAGCTGCCGCAGCCGCCGCCGCGGGCGACGAGGACGACGGCGTGGGCTACGCCAAACCGATGTGGTACCCGGACGAGGGTCCGACGGGTGAGTGGGCGCGACCGTTGCGGCTGTCCCCTGCGTCGGCGGCAGGCTTCCTGCCGGCCGCCCCCGCGCGCCTCGTGCGATGGCCCTGCCGCCGCCAACCGCTCATCCCGGCCGCAGCCGGAACCGGCGGGGGCGGCGGCGGCAGCGGCGTCTCGCCGGCCGGTTCGTTGAACGGTGGCCGGTCGGCGCTGGTTTTCCCCACGTTGGAGCAGGTCAGCACACGGCGCCGGTGGAACGCTCGCGCGCCGGCCCGGTCCGTTTGGCGAGCAGGCTCCCAATCCGCACCATGCCTGGCCTCGGGCTCCGCCGAGCGCGAGCCGTCGAGCCGCTTTCCCCCTGGCAAACCCAGCGTGGGAAACCGGACCGTCCGGGTCGCGGCATCCGCCCCCGCGCCGGGTGCCGCTACCCACGCGGGGCGTACCTGGGCGGGGGGGGGGGGGCGGCCCCCCCCCCCCACGCTCGAGTCCGCCGGCCTCTCCGGAGGCGTGCCGTGACGCGGCACCACGCGCCGGGGTCAGCCCGCCAGCAGGATGTCCCGGTGCGGCGCTTCTCAGCACGGGACGGCGGGCGTGGCGCCGCCCCGCTCCTGCCTCCAGCTCGCTGCCGCCGCGGTGGGCGTTCGCGCGAGAGGAGACGGCGCCGGCGCGTGGTCGGAGAGCTCCGCTGGGTCGGGCGGTTGGCGACGCTGGCGGGGAACTGACCTAGGAAGGTGGCGCCCGAGCCGCCGGAGGGCCGCTCCTCCGCAGCTGCCTGGGCCGAGAGGGACGGTCCCGCTGGGGCTTTCCGCCCGGCTTTAGTGATTGAGTAGGGTCAGGGGAGCGCAGATTCCGCACTCAGCAATGCTGGCTTGATTTCACTCGAACTTATGTCGCATGTTTGCAGATCGTCGGATATTTCGACGCTCAGCGAGCCGGGCGTTTTTCATATTTCTGGCACAAGCGTGTTTGACTGGTCTGTGGATAGCACATATGTAGCGTGCTCTTGGATGACTCCGCGTGGCAAGGAGACTGGCAGCAGGCGAGCCGCTTCCCGATTAAGGCTCTGTGATCCGTCAGGCGCCAAGCCGACCCGTCTCACCGTCACCCCCCCTCCTCATCCAGGTGTTGCTGGAGCTGTACGTCCAGGTCACCAGCAAGCTGTACCCGGATCTGCCGCGCGTGGTGCCGCCGTCCGGCCAGCAGCGCCGCTTCGGTCAGCCGCAACAGCAGCACGATCTCAGCCTGTGCCAGGGCTGCGCGGCCGGCATCTGCCGTATGAAGCGGCGCGGCCGGGTAGACCGCGGGCAGCGCGCACCGGATGGGGAAAGAGGTTGCCGTGGATTGCGTGGGAGCCGGCGGCGCTATCTGTGGGAGATGAACGGTGGGTTGTTGGGCGTGCTTTCCAGCAGACGCAGAAGGGGCTACGTTGTGTCGGCGGACCAGTGGCAGGAGGTGGGGGCTGGTAACGGGCGGAACGGGAATGCCGTTCATCCCCGGATGTTTTTAAGAAGCGCATTTTAACATGTTTTATTAGGCTAGTTTCAGTCGAACCGGCGACTTCCTTTGAGTTTTGCTTCCTCGCTGCGCACGACAGCGTCTCATAGTCATCATTTTATACGTGTTTGTGCGATGTGCATATGCACCAAGATGTTCGTGTGCCATCATTTATATACACATCGTTGTGTAGGCACTGTTTTAAGCGGAACAGATACACGGAAGATGCGGGTGCTGTTGCGCCCTCCGGAGCGCTCATTGTTTCAGAGGGTAGTGCGAAAGTGACACGTTCAACGAGGTTTCCAAGGACTAGCTGTCCCGGCTGGGGGTCGCGAGGGCCGCGGCCGCGGTGGTCGACGAGCTGAGATATGTTGCACTGGGTGGCCCGGCCGAAATCAGCAGCTGCTCGTGGCCGCGCCGACACGAAGTGACGTCCAACGCACGTGGTCCCTGCTCGCTTTCCGACACCAAGCATCACAACTCGCGGTCCAGGGGGCCCGGAAGACTGTAAATTAGCAAACACTTCCCTAACACGACGAAATTGAAGGCGATCAACGCGATCGACGACCTAAAATCGCGATCAACGACAACGAATTGCGTTAATGTATCACTACCCGCTTCGACCCGACTCTGTAAACGTCTTACTGGAAACAAAACTTTACGCACTGCACTTATCCAGCGCGAGAAGGACGTCATTGTCTTGCAAATGAATGAACAAAGTATCCCACTGAACAGGCCGAATACGACGCACATTTGTTGAGCGCGTAGGGCGCTCGTCATAAAGTAACCCTCCTTTAGCTACCTGCCCCCTCCCCTGATCGCAGGTGATGCATCATATCCTTCGAACACATTATATGCAATACGAGGCGCCGGGAAGCCAATGATATTGTCAGTGCTGTAGTGGGGCGCATCACTCCACGACAAAAACAAGACAAACCTGTTGCGGTTGCCCGTGCGGTTTCCCAAAAAAAGGCTTTCACCAGCGCGTGAACCCTTGGAATGCAACACAACATGCATCAGTTGTTACTAACAAATAAAGCCTCCACCAACTCTTGAGCACCAGGAATCAACACTTCACTTGAGCACCAGGAATCAACAGCAAACACTTCACGAACAAACGACACCCGCGACCAGCCTCGCGGTCCTATCCACTGACCGACGGGGCCAGGTAGAGCGGGAAACACTGGCTTCGGTCGACGGCCCCAACTGCACCCCGAGCTCCCGCGTGGCACCGCCGGCCGGCCCGTTTGTGCTGCAACTCACGGACGGGTTGGCTCCGTTCGGCGCATGGCCCTGCGGTGGCGCCGACCCGCAACCGACGCCAGGGCTGCCACGCTGAACGCCAGCCCCGACGCCGCGCTGCGGTGTTGGTGTTGGAGGCGGCGGGCCGGCGGGATGAGTCCCACCGCCAGCCGACGTCACATGGTGGCCTTCCGACACCAGGTCGACATGTCAGGCGTCATCACAAACCTAACCGGCGCTGACGTCACACGGTGGCCTTCCGACACCTCCAGGCCGACATGTCGAGCGCCTGCAGGGCGAGCAGGCGGCGACGGCCCCAGAGCAGCCAGAGGAAGCCGAGACAGACGCAGGCGGCGCTCTCCACATAGCCGTCCATACTAACGAGGCACGAGCCGCCCTCTCCGCAGTCCTGCCGGGCAGACGGCGGGTGTCGCTGAGGCGCCGGCGACGGGGGCGGGGGCGGGCTGGCCGCGGCGACGAGCCCGGGTCGAGCGGGCCATGGACAGGTTGGCCTGACACGACTTGGAGTGGGGTGAGCTGCTAGTGGCGGGGGGGGGAGGGGGGGGGGGGGTTCCGATTTGGCAGGTTTTGCGAACAGCGTGTTGACCCTGCAGAGGCTATGGCAGGTTACGAGGGCCGACGGTATGTCAACAATGGACAGCAGTCTTTACGACACTCATTCTGAACAGTGGGCAAACCGTTCATCCTCGGCCTCCGAAGGGATTCATCTCACCAGTTACACAAACTAGGGGACCAAGTGTAAAAGTTTGGACCCTGACGGCCATCAATGTCTGTAAACTACGTCGCAAACCATGACATCTGCAGACATCCAACACCATGACTGTAGTGCGAATGACTTGCACCGCCCGTCCTGGGTTTGAACGGGCCATGAGCGCGCGGCTATGTCTTGGAAAAGCTCTCACCGCAGTGGCACGTCACTTATCCGTTCGCTGGCTCGCATGCCATGTCGACCATACAGCGGTGCGGTACGACAGCCGTACAGAGAACGGGTGGACATTTCCAGCGCGCCCTCCTTGTGGTTACCGAGAGCCGGCGGGGCAGGTGCGGGTCGGTGGCCATACCACGCGTGTGGCCGTTGCATCCAACGAGAGATAGCTAGATGTGCCGGACAATCCGCAAACCAAAGCATTCCACGCGTTTCCGTGCCCGGGTTTGAACGGATGCGTAGACGAGGACGCGGTCACATAAGCAAGAGCACAGGCATGATCGGTCACAAGAATTAACTCGGCATACATGCTTTCACAATTTGATACTTTTCCACTTCAACAGCAGCATGGGGACGCCACGTATCCATGGCGGAAAGCCCACAACAGACAGCAGTCACCGTCCGCCAACACGCAGCCACGGTGGCCGCGCGTCGCAAGCACGTCCGTAACGCCGCATTGCGTCAGCCGGGTCGCTTTTCCCCACACGGCCCGTCTGCCGGGAGCGGGACGGAGTGGGCTGGAGCGGGTCTCACCTGGTCACTACCGCAAGGGCCACCCCCACCGCCGCCGCCGGCGCAGGCCCTCCAGGTCAGCCGGTCCACCATCCAGAGCATGAGCGTGGCCGGCCAGTTGCGGCACCTTTCGGGGTCCGAGAGGAGCGGTCAGCCAGCTTAAGGCGCACGCGTCACAAAGGTGCGGCGCACCTGCCACAGACGGGATGGACGGGTCCAACGGGCGACAGCCGGGGAGGGGTACCGATGTGGGCCGGGGACGGACGGCGGTGACGGTGTGGCGCCGTGGGAAGTTGATTGATACGTGGATCCCGGAAACATGATCACACCCTAACGCAAATATGATGCACATCACGCTTGTTCAGCGGGACGGCTCTCAGGGCAATGACACAACCTGGATTCGAACCCCGGTCCCCCAAACGGAAGCCGAAGACAATGAAGTCTCATATACGCCACATGGCGAGTCATCGCGACACTCATTTGACGGCAGTCGCGACAAAGGCCTCAAGCCCGGTTGATTACATGATGACAATGCCAACCAATACAGGTTTAGCTGCCAGGAAAGGCTAGACGAGTAAATACGTCACAACGGGCATTACAAGTACTGCAGTACCCAGCATAAGAGGGAACAGCAACATAATACCGCTCCGAGCTGCGGCTTACGTAAACAAACCCCAGAACGTTAACCAACCCTCCCTGCATCAGAGGGCGTCCAATGGCGCCGCTCGAGCCAACCCCCAGCACCTGACGGCCCGGGCTGGGACCACGGCGCCGCCTCGGCTGCTCACCCAGGTTGGTGACAGTGTTGAGCAGCGTCATGTACGTGCCGTCCATGGCCGGGTCGGAGATGCGGGCGAAGAGCGCCATCACCGACACGAACATGGAGTAAAGCGTGACCTGATGCAGCACGAACACGGCCAGGATGAGCCCGTAGTAGCTGAGCGGGAACGAGATGTCCTCCAGCCGGAACAGCGGCGTCACGTACCAGGCCGGCCATCACCAGACCGAAGAGCAGCCTGGCGGACGCGGCCGCAACTGTTAGTGTCGGAGGCGGACGCCAGGGCGCCAGGCTCACAGTGCGTATGTGCCGCCGTCGCGTGTTAGCGGGGGTCCGAGTGTGTTAGCAGCCGTGGGAAGTCCGCTTTGATAACATCACGCGCATGACTGAGCAATGCTGACCTGAGCCCGCTGGTCCGCTCG